CGGGGGGGGGGGGGGGGGGGGGGGGGGGCAATGGCACCGGGAAGAGGCACGAGATAACTGCTGTTCCGCTGTTGCTGTTGTGGCTGTGCAGTGATAAGCGTTTCCGCAGTGAGATCGGCCAGATGATCGAACTCAACTTCGAATCGCACACGTACATGAAGGTGACGACCAGACCAGCCGCCACACACCACACCCACATCTACCCACATGGCGGTGTATGTTTATGTCTGCAGCTCCTTCGCGGCATCATGTTGGTCGACCGTCTCTTCCACGACCCCCCCGAGACGTACCAGCCCATCCCCGTCGACAAAATGACACACGTCAGTATAACCGACAGAGGAGTGAGAGAAGGGGAGGCCTGCACCCACACACACCTCTATTGGATGGATGGATGTGTGCAGGAGCAGGGCCGTGACGTGTTGGTTGAGCTGATGTTGGCCGCAGGGTGGACCGATGAGAACCACGACGAAGACGACATGGACATGGACCTAGACGAGCACGTGCCATCCACCAAGACCACCAAACGAGTGTCAGGTACAACACACGCCCACCCGCACACAGACAGGGAGACATCACAGAGGAGCATATCCGCGCGCGCGTGTGTGTGTGTGCGTGTGTGTGGTCAGGTGATGTCCAGATGTCATCGCGTGGCGGCGGTGAGGACAGCGACAGTGGCGAGAGTGTGGGGTTCTTCGAGTGGTACGCCCACTGCAATCCGAACGATACTGGCGACGTAGACGACCTGACGCTAGCCATGGAAGTGTAAGGACGAGACACGCCACGAAGGGGGCAAACACGGCGTTGTATGACGTCCTTCCCTCCATCTGTGTCACGCAGGTTGAGTGCTGGTGAGAAGAAGCGCAAGGATACTCCCCGCCGAGGCCGAGCCAACGCCAAGAAAAAGGCAGCTCGCGGCCGCGCCCCATCCCGTAAGCTGAGAAAGAAAGAGACACACTAACACCCATTACGGCCATGGCTCTGATGCTGTGGCAGGTGCGTCGGTGCCTGCCGGTCATGTGCCGTCGTCCATCTATGCGTCCAATCCCGAGTGGGCCGCCGACACAGACAGGAAGACCAACACCAAGGGCACCGTCATCACCAAATCGGGTGAGAAAACCAAAAAGGCGAATTCAACGCAATCACTCACCTTTGTGTGTCCCGCCAATTGCAGAGCATCAGTCGGATGTGACGGGGGTGACGTGGCAAGAGGGGAATCAGGCCTGGGTGGCAAAATGGTCCGAGAAGGGCGACCTGAAGCAGAAATTCAAGTACTTCTACGTCAGTGACCATGGCTTCGACAAAGCCAAGGTGCACATAACGTTGACCATTCCCTCTGTCTCTCTCTGAGTGTCCCATGTGTGCCTCCGTCTGTCAGACGTTGGCCGAGGAGCATCGTCGTGAGATGGAGCGCACCGGACGGGCGGTGGTCAAGAAGAGATCGGAGCACCAGAGCGGCGTCAAGGGCGTCTCCTACGACAAGGGCAGCAACTCATGGATCGCCAGCTGGTACGAGGGCGGCAAGAGGAAGTTTAAGCCGTTCTCTGTGCGTGAGTTGGGCTATGAGGGCGCCAAGCAGGCGGCCATAGCCCACCGCCGTGCGATGGAGGAGAGGCATTACACATTCAAAGACAAGGCAGTCAAGGAAGACTGATGCATGAGACAGACAGACAGACAGACACACACACATCCTCTGGGACCGTCCCGCCCCATGCACGTGCGGCTACCCAGCCACAGTCTGGTGCATACACGTACGCATCGACAGACCGACCCACGGTACCTACCCATCGCAATGACTGAGTGCATGTGCATGGTGAATGTGATGCTTATGGTATGCCTCTCTCTATGGATGACCAATTTTGATCAATGAAAATCCTGTCTTCCATGGTTGGAAGCATCAATCATGTCAGACCATCAGGAGTCAATCGATTGCGCACGGCATCCCGCAGTCCATTACATAGCATCGTCTTGCCTGGCATCATCACTCTTCGCTTCAGCCCTCTGCTGATCTGCCGGTTCGCAACCAGGCCGCGCGGCCTGCATGGTGTCTGGCAGTTCATTGATGTCTGCCTTACAGGCGTCGGCGCATCCTCAATATTCGTTCAATCCCCTCCCTCCGACCCCAGGAGACTGCGCCCGGGCCCCCACAGTGCCCCCACGGCAGGCATTTTCCCTTCCCTCCTCTAGCTTGATATCACCGCCATGGCGAGCAAGCCATCCACCCACTTGGCTCCTCCCCCCACCCCCACCCCCGAAGCCACCGTGACCACGCCATCGTCCACCGCCGTCGCATGCTCACCCGACTCTCATCAGCCCGTCATGTCACGGGGGCTGAGCACGTGCACCTCAAGTGCAGCCAGTGTCAGTGACACGCAGCCAAAGAACGTCTTCTGGGTCTCCCCCCAGAAGGCAGGCTTCGGCGTGTTCTGCCAGACGCTCGACTTTCTGTTTGAGGTGCTGGCGCTGTGGGAGATGGGCAGGCGGGGCTACCACACGATAATGGCGATTGACTTGGTCTTCATCGGCGTCTCCGTCTCCATGCACCTGTTCTGGCGGGACAGCAAGCACCCGCTGATGAAGCACAGGCAGCGGGGGCCGGCGGAGAAGGTCCTCGTCTACTTTGGGATGTCGGCCGTATGCGAGACAGAAAAGGGGCGAGGGGGGGAGCAGGCAGACCATGAGACACTCATCATTGTTCTCTCTTGTGTGTGTGCAGATGGGCATAAGCATCGATCACTGCACTGGGAAGATCCCCGTGTGGACGCCCGAGATAGCCAAGGTCCACGGGGTCTTCCGCAGCATCGACATGATGTACCGCAGCATCCCCGCCCTCCTCAGCTATGTGTTCTTCCTCTTCGCTCACCCAGCCAACTACAGAGACATCCTCTTCTGGGACCGATTCGGCTTCTGGCTCTTCGCCGTCTACTCCGCTGTCCACTTCGCCTACACCACGTCGTCGCACATACAGCACTTCGCGCAGTTCCCGCATTGGAAAGGTGAGTGAACAGAAAGACACAAGTCTCGACACACAGAAAACTGTGTGTGCTGCAGGTTTCTTCATCGTCTTTGTGTTCCACCTGGCCGACATCGGTTTCTGGATAATGCAGCTGGGGTGCCTGTGTTTCTTCCTGGGCTGCCTGCCTGCCGTGCTGGTGCTGCTGTGGCAGTGGGCGTCGCGGCAGACGATCATCATCACGCGATACGTGCTGGACAAGAAGAAGGCCTCTCCTAAGGGCCTGTTTAAGTACCTCCGGACGTGGTGGTACCTGCTCTTCGTCCAACAGCCTATCAACCTGATTGCGTCATCTCTCGGGCCGGTAGCCAAGCCAGACAGACAGACAGACAGATAGACTGGCTTGCGCGCTTCTTTCTTTGCTCATGAATCATTTTGTGTGCTGTCTCGGTGTCTCAGGTGGGGCAGGCCCACCCGGTGTATCGGTGGATCATCCTTGCGCTGCGCTACATCGAGACAGCCGCCATCCTCACCTTCATATGGGCCACCAAACCGTCGAAGTCACGCATGGACGGTCAGTGCCATTGGCTGGACCGCAGGCGAGAGACATGCTGACGCGTGTGGCTCCCTCCCTTTGTGTCTGTGTGCATTTGAACAGAGTGGGGAGTGGGTGAGGATTTCCACATCAAGCTGACCAACCAGGTGTTGATGCCCTGGAGCCTCGTCAACCTCTACTTCCACACCTACTGCGTGGCGGCCATTGCGTCGGGCTCAATGCCCTCGCTGATACACCTCAACTTCAATGCCACCGCCGCAAGTGAGGAGACACAGAAATCGCGCAGTCACACGCACAATCTCCCACCCCCCGCCCCCCTTCCATGTCCCATCACCCATTGTGCAGAGGACAGTAACGTCAACAAGGTGATAATGATCAGCAAGCAGCTCTTGCGCCCATCCGTGGTGGACCCCAAGAACCGGCCGAGGTCGAAGAGGCCGCCGCCCCTCAATCAGAACCCGCCACGGGCCGACGCGTACTCCAAGAAGATAGAGGCGCTACACAAACCACAAGACGGTGCAGAGAGGGAAACGCCGGAGGACGACGGCTACTCGGCAGAGGGAGAAATGGACCATGAGGTACGTCTGCAGATAGATGCCAGCCTCCCTCCCCTGGCTGCATACGCCTTCTGTGTGTGTCTCTGCGTCTTGGTGTGCAGGGCTCGCCTCACTTCAACAACGATTCCCAGCCGCCTTTCCACGAAGGAGATGCCGCCTTCATGATCGACGACGACATGGTGCTCCACGACACCATCGAGTTTCCTTCAGGACTAGCTGCAGGGACCGACGACGGGGCCGAGGGTGCGGGTGAGGGTGAGGGTGGGGGTGTGGCGGGGAAGCTCAAGACGTTCCATGCGTTTTCTGGTGTGGGCAATGCTGGCGGGCAGCAGAGGGATTGGGCACAGAAGCCATAGGGAGAGAGGGGATTAAGGGGTGCTCTGTGTAAGCGCGTTGCGTCATGTAAGCACCTGATTGTGACAGTTAGGAGAGAGGACATTTTTACGTCGCTCAGCGAGTGCGTGTGGTTCACGACGAGAAGCGGCAAGCGATTAGTCGAGTGACTGACATACACACACACGAATGCAGTCAATCGGTACACACACAAAAACGGGAGCCTGAGTCATGTAAGGGAGTGTCCATCAGTCAGTCAGTCTGTCTGTTTGTCATTTGCTATACATCAGACGGTGACGGTCCATCAGTGATTGCGCCCCAGCCCGCATCCGCCGACAAGCCGGATACGACCCGTATCGTCGTGATCACTGACGGACTGCGCAGACGACCAAATGGTACCGTATCTCTTTTCTACACACACACACACACCTCCCTCCCTCCCGCTGTCTGTCTACGCATCCATCCATCCATCCATCCATCCATATCTCGTCTATCTCCTGGCCTCGTAGTGTCCATGTCCATGCTCCTCAGAGGCCATCTCGTCGGCCATGTCCTGCGCGTCCTGCTCGTCTTGGCCAGCACCGCCACTCTCATGACGATCGGCCTGGCCCCCTTTGTCGTTGTTGACCGCGTTGGAATGAAATCTGTGCGCATCGTGGCGCTTCAGACACCCGTTGAACTCGTTCCTTCGCCGACGGTCAATCTCGCCACGCTCCAGCTGCATTGCATGCCACACACACACGCGAGAGCACCACACATGCAATGAGCAGATGCTGCAGGGGAGAGGCTCGTGTGTGCGGGCGCTGCGCTCACCGGGTCGCTGACGTAGACCTCGTTGTAGCAGATGGGCGACACGCACTTGTCGACACAACCGTCGTTTTCCTCGATGGGCAGGTGGCCGCACTCGTTCCGGCTGCACGACTGACGACGGGTCCGCCACGCCTTGCTCTGATCACATCACATCGCATTCATTGGGTCAACAAAATGACTTCAGCAGGCAGGTGGCGTACCGTTTGCGAATGATGTGCGTGCGGCTTTGAGTGTGCCGTCATCAGGAGAGGAGAAAGGCATGCCAAGGCGATGGAGATCTTCATGGCGACTGAAATGTCTCGAAAGGGTTAGGGTTTCTCGGTCACAGGGTTTGACAGTCACCGACTTCCGCATTGCAAATCCATCCATCCACCAGTCAGTCGCAAAGTCGCTGCCCTCCCCTCGTCCCTGGCTCAGGCAGGCAGCTGTATACAACTCAGCACCAGTCAGTCTATAGGCAGACCAGACCAGCGAAAAACGCCACACACATACACACGGAGACGCAGGCGACCAATCCATCCATCGCATCTGCGAACGTTGATCTGATCTGCTGCCTGGTGTGGTGGTGGTGTACTCATTATACACACATCCATCCACCAACACTCTAGACAAATGAGTACAGACAGTGGGCGGCAGGCAGATAGGGCACGAACGTAGGAATGCACACATCGACGCCAATTTGACCAACCGATTGCGTCACAACACTACACACCCATCCTTGACCCGCATCAGCCCTCCAGCAAACGTCTCGCGTCTGCCATCCGTCTCTCTCTCTCTCTCTCTCTCTCTCTGACTGTCGTTAATCCGTCACGCATCTGTCCTCTCGGTGCCCCCATACCGCTCCAGCAACGCCTCCAGGTCCTCCTGCGTCTCAATGGTCGACCCAGATGCCTCGCCCACCACCTGCCCCTCACGCAACACCACTACGCGCCCACAACCCCTGCACACACACACACACGTACCAAGCAACAAAACGATGCATCCAATGGATCGTCGACACGAGTGTGGTGAGCGTACCTGAGCGCATCGGCGTGGTGGGCCACGACTATGATGGTGCAGTGCGGCAGCACGCTCGACAGCAGGGGGACCGGACCTTCGTATGACGTGGTCCCTCCTTGCCCCTTCTGCTTCTGCAGGCACTGCTGCTCATCTGGTGCTGCTGGTGTGGTGGGGGTGACCAGGAGAGGCGGCTCGTCGACCAGGATGAGCCGGTAGCTGGACGATTGCAGCAGCAGGCGCCCGACGGCCAGCTGGTGCAACTCTCCATCTGCAACCACACAAGAGAATGCACTCACGGCTCTCCCTTTGCTGGAGCACTCACCAGAGAGAGCTTTCTCCTGCGTGGTAGTAGTGATGCCGTCGTCACTCTCAACACGCTCTGCGGACGGCGGCATCTTGTCCTTGCTCTCTCTCTTCTGGTTGTCGTCCAGGGGGCTCCGCCATATGACCGTCTCGAGCTGGTGCGGCAGCTTCCGGACCACACTGTCTAGGCTGCACTGGTGGACTGCATGCCACAGGGCCTCCGTCGAGTGTTCACCCTGCACACAAGGACACACAAACATGAGACACACAAGGATAATGCATTGACGTCTCATGCACTGCGCCCACCGTCGGGTCGAGGAACTGTCTGACGGTCCAGCCCCTGAACACCAGCGGCGCGTTCGGCAGCACCCCCACCACGGCCCTCATCTCACCGCCCCACTCGTCCGCCCCTCTGTCGCCTATACGCAGCTCCCCGCCACTCACAGGCACCAGCCCGACCAGCGTCGAGAGAAAGGTGGTCTTGCCCGCGCCAGTGCGGCCCACCAGGCCCACCCTCTCCCCTCTGTCGATTGTGAGGGTGACGTTGCGGAGGGCGGGTGGGAGTGAGGGGCGGTGCCTGACTTCTACGCTGCGAAAAGTGACGGTGAGGCCCTGTTGCTGCTGCTGGTGGTGTGTGTGGGAGAGGGGGAGGGGGGAGGCGGTGGTGTGGGTGTGAGCGGTGGGGCCTTTCTCGATGTCTGATGACGTGGGCGTGGCGGCCTGGTCGTCCTTGTCGGCCTCTTGGTGCTTCTGCTGGCTTGTGGTGTACTCCTGAGAATGAAAGAAAGCACAAAGATGCTATGGGGTGACTGTGTCTCTCTATCTCTCCTCTGTGATGACCTGTATCCTTTCAAGCGAGCACATCTGTTTCTCCAGCTCCACCGCCTGAGTGATGAGGTTGCCCACATTGCCGGACAGCGCCAGTGTGAAGGACAGCGCCACACCGACCCACCCAGCGTCCTGCACAGCACACGTGCAGATATCTCTCTGCCCCTCTACTGGTGGGTAATTGGTGGTGATGGTGAGCTGGCGTACCCCTCCCTTGGAAGATCCCGTGAGCTGGAATATCACCGGCAGCACCGTGGTCAGCATCGTCAACGGAAACATCAGCAGCTGAAGACGGAACTGGAGCCACACCATCGCCCTGCACACACACACACACATATACGTGGTTCTCTTTCCCCCTCTCTCTCTGCCCCTCCAGTTGGTTCACTCACCCGGCCAGCAGCAGCTTGGTGCGCTGGTACATGTCAATCCTATACAGCGCCCTGGCCCCGTGTTGCGGCACCAGCTGCAGCGCCCTCAGTGTGGGGGCGCCCGTCATGGCCTCGCTAAACACCGAGAACACCTGCGATGTGCGGCCGAGGGCGCCGCGCTGAAGCTCACTGGATGTTGGGAACACACAACACACACACGAGGGATTGTGTGTTCGGGTGGTGAGGGGAAATGTGCACCCACCGGTTGGCGCCCCTGTAGATGAGGTACAGCCACTTGTAGAGGGCCCACAGGATGAAGGGCAGCAGCGGCAGGCACCACCAGCTCGTCGCCGACACCATCACCAGCTGAACATGGCAAAAGAAGATACAGGTATGTGTGTGTGTGTGTGGATGTGTGTGTCTGCCTACCGATAGCACGAAGTAGACGACGCCCCCGAACACGATTCCGATCTGCCGCACGATCGTGTGGTCCACACAGAACATGTCGCTGCTAAATCTGCGAAGAAAGAAGAGATCACACGCCATGCAGACGGCACCTCACGTGGTCATCTCGCCCTCCCCGGCCGTCACCTGTTGAGCGTCCGGCCGACCGTCGTCTGGTCGTGGAAAGCGAGCGACGCCGCCATGGTGCCGCCGAGTAGGTCGTGGTGCAGCCGATTCATCGCCACTATCTGCCCGGCCGCCTCGCTCCCGTATCCAGCGAAGTTGGAAAAGACGTTGAGGGCAACCAGCCTGACACACACCCATCCATATGTCTGTTGATCTGTGTGTCTGTGTGTGTGTGTGTGTGTGGTGCGCACCCGATATAGACATTGAGGCGGTAGACCTGCATGTCGACCTCCTGCTGAGTGGGGTTGGCGCCCTGCTTCTCCGCCCCGCTGGTCCAGTAGGCGATCCACCAGTTGCAGGCCTGATCGCTGACACCGATGCCCACCACAGCCACCAGAATGGCGCCCACCAGCCACCAGCCGATCCGACGGAAAAACCTGACACACACGGGGCATTTGCAGTGGTGTTGTGTATAAGGGTTATGGGGGTGATTCTCTTCTCCCTTCTGACCAGAGGTAGCAGCTGAGCCCCACAACGCCCTTGAACCTGAAGTCGTCATCCATGGCGGTCTCCCCGCCGTCCTGGGTGCGATCCTGCTGCTGGTTGTCCTTGTCCGTGGGCTGGCACATGAGAGCCGACTCCCAGAAGCCGAGCATGTGGGTGGAGGTCTCCCTGGAAGATGGCGACGTGCTGCCATTGCCATTGCCGTTGTTGCTGGCGCCGTGATCGCTGGTGCTGTCCATTGAGCTCCGTGTGGGGTTGCTGCAGCACACATACACACACATCGATGCCCGGAGCGGCGGGCGGTTATGGTGCGTTCCTGACCTGACGATGGTCTTGCGGCTCCTGAGCGTGGCGCTCGACGGTGAGCTGCTGATGTCGGCCACGGTGGTCATGTCGCTAAGCGTCCGGTCGTATGACGAGCGGTGGTACCTCTCGTAGTACTCGTCGCACGACGATGACCACACGACAGACGACCCTCCCCCGCCCCCTCCCCTCTCGCCCGCCCCCAACACTATCACGTGCAGGCTGGCGGCGCCGTCGATTGTCTGCGTCTGTGTGTTGGTGTGGTTGTAGAACTGGTGGAACGAGTCGGGGTCGATCGTGATGATGGTGGCCGAGTCGGCCAGCAGGCCGCCCGGGCCCAGCAGCGACTGCCAGATCTGGTAGCCCACCTTCGGGTCAAACGACCTGTCGAGACAGATTGAGGAGAGTGACATACGCGCTGGGTGTGTGTCGTGGGGTGTGCGTGGGTGTGTGAGGGAGTTGTATCTCACTGACTTGAAGGTGTCGTCGAGGAGGAAGTATGACGCCTTGGCGTCGTAGAGTGCCCTCGCGAGCGCCACACGGACGCGCTGCCCAGCCGAGAGGGAATGCCCGCCCTCATCCACCTCACGCAAGTCCCCTGCACCAACCACAACGCACCATGCATGGGTCGTGATGGCCATCCCTTTCTCTCCTTGGCATTCCTACCATTGGGCCATTCCTGGAAGTCATGCGTCAGAGCGCACGCCTCGATCACCCGCTTGTAGCGCACGGCGTCCCATGGCCGGCCGAGGACGATGTTCCACCGGATGGTGCCGCCACACACCCACACGCACTGCGGCGCGAAACCCACTGGCGAGGCAGCGTAGGCCATGTCACCGCCACCACCACTGCTACTGCTCACGGGGAGGGACCCGTCGGCCGCTGTCCAGCATGACCCTGGCACACCACACGGGGATGCGGGTGGATGCCTGTGTGTGATGGTGTTGCGGATCGGGTGTGCGTACCTTCTATGAGAGGGATTTCCCTCAGCAGAGCGGCAACCAGGGTGGACTTGCCGCTGCCGGGGGGGCCCATGACCACCAGGCACTCGCCCCGACGCACCACCATGCTCAGACGCTCCAAGCGGAAGGATAACAACGCTCCACTGGTTGGTGTCGGTTTGCCGTCCTGTCTCCTCCCGCCGCTGCTGCCGCCGTTTGCAGCAGATGGCCAGGCAAAGCAGGCGCCCCGCAAGTAGACACGCATATCGTCTTCTACCTGAAAACGCGCACACACACACACACAGAGAGAGAGAGAGAGAGATACAAAGTGCACAAAGGGGATATATGGACCTCCTTGGTCGCTGCCAGTGAGTACCTGTGTGAGGGGTCTGCTGACGGTCCGCTCGCTAAGCCCCTCGGTGGGCGAGAGCGGCTCCTCTTCCCCAGGACTGCCGTTGCCCTTGTCATGCTCCTTCTTGACCACCGCACTCTCGCCGAACACCTTCCACAGCCCCTTCATCACCGGCAGCCACGCGTCACCCTTGCCCTTGCCGTCGCCGTCATCACCGTACGATGACGGCTGCCCGCCGCCCCTTGGCTTAGCAGAGGGGGCGGCGAGGTCTAGTGCGGTCTCCAGCCGTGCGAGTGCGATGGTGCCTTCGATGAGTGTGCGGATCATCTGTGGGATGGACATGACGGGGCCGATCATCTGGCCCAGCAGGTGCATCGTCGGGATGGCCACCGACGCCTTGAGGGCAAAGGAGGGGTCGCCGCCCTGATTGATGGAAACCAAGGCGCAGAGAGCATTTGGTGGTCGTTCGTGGCTGGATGGATGGATGGCTGCTTACTCGGACTTTGGCGAGGCTGGCGTAGGTGAACATGACGAGGGTGACCATTGTGGTGGCGAGGCCTGCACAAACAGGCAGCATGAACACCAAGTGAGCACCCGTATTGTCTGTCTCTTCTGTCACTCCATGCAGGTCAGCTTGCTTACGGACACACGCCCCCAGCCAGGCCGCCGTGTACTCGTAGTAGATCTTCCGCCTGAGCATCTGCACCTCATTGGCACGTGCCGCCCGAACGTGGCTCTCAGCCACACCCTCCCTGCACCACACAGACAAGACAGATGGGCAGGCACCAAAATGTTGCCCTTTTCCAATTCGTGTCAGTGTGTCGTTCTTCTCACCATCCCAGTAGCTTGATCAGCCGCAGATTCTGAAGCGTCTCGCGACATCGCTCTATCCGAATGTCCCGGCGCGCCTGACAGGCAAACGACGCGAGTCGACACAGACACACATACGTGGCCACATGCGGGCTCTCGCTAGTGCATGCTTGCGCACCATGTATGGGTCTCGCAGCTGTCCGTTCCGCCTCTCCAGCAGCGCGATAATGATGCACAAGACTATCAACACACCCACACCGGGCGCAGCAGCGTGACCCACCTGCACACACACCAACACTCTCACGGTCAGGTGCCTGCCTTGCCGTGGGTGAGAGTGTCCCATTGTCACCTGGACGTCCAGGACGTAGGCAGTGACGGCAATCTGGAAGGGCAGCACCAGTATCTCAGGTCCCAGCAGGATCAAAGTCTCAACGGTCTCGATGTCCAGCTGCACCAGATTGAACACATTCACGCTGTCAGAGCTCTTGGACGACGACCGCTGCTGTTGCTGCTGCTGCCGCTGGTCGCTATCTGACTCGCTGCCGCTGCTGCTACTGCTGCTGCCGTTGTGCAGGGGTTTCTCGACAAGGTGTTTGAAGAGGGCTGCGGTGAGGGCTGTCCGTATCCTGATGGTGACGCGGGCCTTCCAGAAGTTGTAGTGGTTGTTGCCGAAGATGGACACCAGCTGGATGGCTATCATGGCCACACATATCAGCGTGCCTGGTAGGGAGAAATTCACATTCATCGTCTGCCTGTGATTGAGTGTGTTTCTTTACTGTGTGCTTGTGATCCAGCCACGCATCTCACTCACCAACGACCCAGGTGGGAGCGTCCTCGTCGCTGCCAGCCTCCTTGAACTGCAGGAAGGCCTTCAACGTCAGGAGGTTGACGTACTCCAATGCAGTAAACAGCACCTTGAGCACCAGAATCAGCAGCAGCTGCCACCCATAAGCCGCCAGCACCACGCGCATCACAGGGTACCGCCTCCTGCGCTCCCTCGCCCTCCTCTCAGACAATGAGATTGCCGTCTGCTGGCGGTAGTGGTCGATGGCCTTGGCCATCTTCCTCGCATTGGCTGCCGTTTCGTCATGTTTGTCCAGCAGGGGCAGCCACCGCTCATCAATGTCGCCTTGAGCCGAGCGCCGCAGGTAGGGAGTGCACCAGCAGAAGAAAAGCCGTGAGAGCACGGGGGCGCTGTCGGCGCTGGGGTACGGCGCGCCGGAACTGCTCGGGCTATCTGATGCATTCGGCATGCGATTGGACATGGCCTTTTTGGCTTTTGTTAGGGTTTAGGGTCCAGGGTTTGAGAAAAAATTCTCGACAAGAGACGTGCCCCCAATCTCCCCTTCTGCCAGCTGCCCGTCACACTCGATAGCAAACAGGTGGGCAGATGAGCGCGGGGCGGGTGGGTGACACTCATCGGTCTGTCTGTCGTGTGGGGGTCTGTGTAGGCGTATTTGGCCGACGCGCGTGTGGTGGCGCTGTGGAAGATGATGTGTCGACACGTCAACTTCGGCGGAAACTACAGCCGTTTTGAGCTGTTCGACCAGCCGGGCGGCGGTGTGCGCGCCTCCGAGACCGGCCGGGCTTCGAGGTGGACGTCAACCCCCCCCTCCCCCCCACCCACCCGTACCAGCCACACATCATCTACGACCACCCGCCCGTCAGGTCTCGAATCGAGCGGCAGGGGGGCAGCTGGACGGCCAGTGGTGATGCGCTCACTTACGCCTCGGCGTCGGCGTTCATCATGAGCATAATCATGCGCCCTCCACTGGCCAATCTGGGCTGGACTCCTGGGGTTTACGCGGACCGGTACGAAGCAACACCACACATACACGTTCATCCGGATCGATGGGTATCTCCTCTGTATTTGTGTCTTCAGGAATGCTCACGGCGGTGTGCTGGACGGTCTCCTGACCCACTCGCCCCACCAGCCGCCCGGCGGATGCACGGCCGTCGTGGCGGGCAGGTGGGACGATGGCGATCCCCCTTCTGAGTTTCGGTTTCTGCTCCTGACGTCATTCGACATGCCATTCGCCGCCTGTACCATTCTCGGCAGCAGTGTCGACACGAACAACGGTGAGGAAGAGATAGCAGATCTTCTGTGCTGATGAAGCCATTGTTTGGCGTGTGCTGTTCGCTGCCTGCAGTGCTTGTGCGTGTTGTCACCAACGAGCCACCAGTAGTTGCTGCATCGGCTGCCCTTCTTAAGGACCGCCGGCCCGCTACCGTCCCTCTGGTGGGCGGCGCGTTGGGCAGCCCCATCGCAGACATGGCTCTCAGCCAGCCGGAAGAGGAGGAAGATGATGAGGGTGGGTGTGCAGCCGGCTGCCTCTGTCTCTGTGTGTCGGATGAATCGGTGTGTGTGTGTGTGTGTTGTCGTTGGGCTCATTCGTATTTCTGCGGTGTGTGTCTATCTGTGCAGATATGGATGGCAATGGCAATGGCAATGGCGATGGCCAGCACCAGCAGGAAGTGGATGGTGTACGGGTGGAGGATGGCCAGGAGGACAAGAGTAGTCGCATCCACACAGCTAGCGGCCCCATCTGGCGCATCCATGTAGTTTTGACAGATACATACGTTTGCCTTGATGTGTCCGTCCATGTGTGTGATGTGTCCATGTTTTGTGTCTGCATACCAACGGTTGGATTGGTGAGTCGGTCAAATGAATCGGGGTGTGTGTGTGTGTGGTCTGTGTGGTGTGTCCAGCCCGTCTCTCTGCCTCTCTCACTCGGATGTGGTGTTGTGTGTGTGTGTGTGTGTGTGCAGAGAATGAGGGTGAAGGGGAGGAGGGTGAGGGGGACGGCCACGAGGAAGTGGCAGAGGTAGATAGATAGATAGCGCAGCGCCGCCTCGGTGCATCTGCGAGACAGACAGACGTAGCCCTACACACCGGACTTATCGATCCCAGACATACACACACGCACACACACACACACACACACACACAAGTCGCCCCACCCCCTACACCACACCACACCACACGCGTCTCCCACGAAGGTTTGCCCATCTGATCCAATAGATCTGATCCGTCTGAGAGAATGTGAGTGAATGCAAGCGCTGCGTGACACACAAGTCGCTGTTTTCGCTCGTGCTGCGCCGGCTGTACGTATATGTGCGTGGCTGTATATGTGCGAGGGTGTCGATGGTGGGTGGGTGGCATGGCGTGTGAGAGGGCGGGAGAGGGACTATAGCTGGTGGATGCATTGCATTGACGGATGGATGGACGGATGGCCACATCGATGGATTCCTGCGGTATGCGTCAACCACTCCCGACACGGGCAGGCGGTGCCGACAAGGCGTACGCAATGGTGTCTGTCTGTCTGTCCCGCCTGATCGCTGCCTGCATTTTGTATTTCGACGTACGTCTGTGTCTTTGCAACTTGTTGGGCTGTGTGCAGACTGACTGAGACATGACATGGTCACTTGATTCACTCGTTGAAGCGCGTGTGGGTGGGCAACGTCCCGTCTATCTCGTGTGTACAAAATTGATGTCCGTCTGAGTAATGCAACCATCGCATGCACGGCCATTGACTAGTGCCAAATGTCAACCATCAATCAATCACATCACATCAGCCCCTCCCCCCTCCCATGACCTCACGGCTGACATCAACCGAGGGGCCACCCACCCCCCCATCCACACACTCGCCCACACGCAATCACACACACACACACACACACACACACAGAGAGAGAGAGAGAGAGGGTCATGCAGATCATTCCATGCCTACGTGAGTGGTAGTTGGTGGCACCCACGCAGTAGCGTGTGGCTTGTATGGAGTACTCGATGAGCGATCGAATTGCTCGCCATCCATCCATCCATCCGAATGAATGTGGCTGCGTAGCTGGCTGGCTGGCTGGCTGCACAGG